GGACGTAATGGAATCTGAAAAGGCTGGAAACTGGGCTTTGGAGTATCGGTTGGTCCGAGCTCGTGCGCGGCTGGGACCCTCCGCCGCTTTCCTCCTGTGCATTCGGAATGGTAGATCAAAGTTGTCGGTAACTAAGCGAAGTCGAGAGCTATGCCAGTTAATCCACGCTCTCTTCCGTCTATGCGATTCATTATTGTTGAGGGGTTATATTAAATAAACTCGTGCGGAGTAAGCTAGGTAAATAATTATATTTAAAAAGATGTTCGGACAAGACGTAGACAATTGTGTGGCGCACAATTAGGACTGCTTACGGAGCGTGGTGACAGTGTGCACTCCCATACCTGGGGTGTTCGCAGGCATCCCCAAACCATATTTTTCGGACGTATCATAAAACTTACCAACACTCCAGGATGTCGATTTGTCATGCAACACTCATAAACCATTTGCTTCAACAATTATTGAATCGGACATTATAGAAACGGACTGGTGAGACGCGCGCCTCCTCCTTTTCCTCCTTTCGCTTAAAGACACGCGGAAAAATGGAAGGAAGGAAGGAAGGAAGGAAGGAAGGAAGGACGGACGGAAGGAGAGAACGTATCGATCGACGCGTGCGTCTCGGCCGAAGGAAAACGTATTTCCGCGAACGCGAAAATCACTGTTTTCCTTATTGACATTCGGTATTCGGGTTAGAGTGTGTGCAGCACACCAGAGAGAAAAGCAATTCATCTCGGACAGCCATCATCGGCGTTCGTTATCGGTTTCCAGATTCGCGTCCACCCTAACCTACCGACGTCCCTCGAGGGACGGATAGGTACATACATAGGTGTATACACCGATGTTACGCGCGAGCACGTAAGGGACGAACGGTCCTTTTCTACTCCTATCTTGTCTCGTTATGCCCGTTCGTTCGTCGATCGTCCAGAGGCTACTTCTACCTTATTCCCGCGACGATCGGTTTGCTTTACCCCCCTTCTCACGTCTATCCTCGATATTCCAAACGGTTGCAGATTAACCAAGATCCGTCTTCTTCGTATCGATCCCTCCTTTTCGAGACCGACTCGTGTCCAACGAACCTATCCTTGCCCTTTCCTAGTTGTCACGTGGACAAAGGGTAAAGGAATAAATACTTAAATAAATAAGGGTAGCAAGTGGAGAAACGCGATCGTTTGGCGAGCTGCCTGATACGCGTCGTTCCCAACGTGGCCAAGCTTTGCTAGGAGCACTCATTCCGCGTGTAGCTTGATGCGATTGGAGAGCGTGGGAGAGCGGAGCGTGTCCGAACCGATTTTGCGGTCCTCCGAGGCATTATTCTCCGTATCCACATCCGCATCCGCATTTTACCATTCCGGATGTAACGCGCGTAGCAAGATTAACCATTCGTCAATTACCACGACGAACGTGTTTATGGGCCAACTTTCTCAATCACCGTTCCTCTTTTCGATTGGAATATCGCGTCACCTCGAGTACGCTTCGAATTTCCGGAGGTTCGCCACAATTATGCGTCCGTGCGTCCATCTATGCGTATCTGTGGACATTCTGAAGTCTGGACCCTCTGTTTCCAAAAAGCTTCCTCTCCAAGGCTCACCCGCTACTTTTATTACCATTTCCCTGCGGCCTCCCTGCGGAATTCCCTGTGGAATTCCCCGTGGAATTCCCTGTGGAATTTACCGGTGGTTATCGTTTATCCGGAGGGAATCAACGAAGCGCCGGATATTTCGGAAACGCGAACATCAAGAGCCGATATTTTGGTAAGAAGAACGGTGGTAGGTAAGGGGCGGAGGTTAGAAACTAGTTTCTTTCCGAATCTAACGCAAACTTCAACTATTCCAAATATACCGCATTTCCATTAGGTTTCTCGTTAGCGACCCCCGTGAAATCCACTCCCCCGTAAAAAGAATAGAATCGGAAATACTACGGAGTAACCTCCGGACTTGTTCTGTAACGCTGTTCTTCGCTTAGCCAGAGTCTATTATGTCTCTGACAGTGTCTGTCACGGTTGAACGAACCCCGGTTGCCTCGATATTGAAAAGTCCCAATTGTTGCTTCCCTTTCCGCCTTCTTTCCCGACTTCTTTCCTTCTCCCCACCCCACCCCACCCCACCTCTCTCTCTCGGAGAAAAAGGGAAAGATTCCCGATCAACGTTCCAATCGCGTTGGGACGAATGGATAGAATAGATTATTCGACGGAAGGGAGGGAGGCTGTTTTCCCCGGGGACGATTGCGATCTTGCGATCGAAAGGAGCTGCACGATCGCGCTCTCGTTACGATTAGATTCTCTTCGAGGTTAGGAAGGAACACGCTTGTTACGCCCGGTGTCTCTCGCTCGGAAGCCTCATCACGGATTTCGCGTCGAATCATAATATATTATAATTGGACAATTCATAGAGGGTAAGTGCTCGTACTCGCGCCTCTGAAGCGCCCTATTATCACCAACCACCGGCTTTGTAATGCAAAACCAATTTTCTCCTCCCGTTTCACGCGTCGCGCCGCGTCGTCTCGCGGTTCACGACCTCCTCCCTTCTTCGTTTCCTGATCAACCTCTCCTCCTTCTCCTCCTCTGTCGCGCCTCTATTAGAGAAGTGGCTGAAAAATTATCGGAGACTCGTCACCCTCGTTAGATAGAGAAACAAGCGAGACCGTTCGCAGTTTCCTAAATCTTCGGGAATCTTCCTTTTTGCTCGGAACCGCGGCGTTAATTTATAGTGTTACGGTCGATACCGTACGGGCGAAATAATCGAAGGAAAAGAAAAAAGGGGGGACGGGTGAAGCGTGGCCAAGAGGAGTACCGCCTATTGGAAAATCTAACTATTATACGATGCGTCGTCCTGTAGGAGCGGAGCCGACTGACCCCTTCGGGGGCTAAGACCGTGTTTTATTTTGCCTCTCGGGGAACCCATCCGAGGGAAGACGGTATTTTTATTCAAATTTCATTCGAACTTTCCGCTCTACCCACTTCACTCGGGATCGTATTATGCGGCTTCTCTTCAGTAAAATCGAATAGTCCCACTCTAATGCCGAGACTTTGTAAATTTATTCTATTTGCCAAAAGCCGATCGTCGCTTCTATAAATTCCAATTCTCCTTCTCCACTTTGCTCTCTCTCTCGTTCCCCTAATGGACACGAGACGTATTTACGTGTCGTTTTCTCTAGTTCGCGAATAGACAAGACCCGAGGCAGTCCCGTACGCGATAAGAGTTGCAGGTGTCGGTGGCAATGTCAGCGCTGAGTTATCGTTTGCCGCGAAGTCGAGCCACGTTTTGCCAAAGGCGGCTAAAGCCCAGGGGAGGAGCAGAGGGCGGGTTTGAACGAGGCCGGAACGTAAGCCAAGACTCGTAAACACGAGTCGAGCTTTCAAAGGAAGAGAAACGAACGAGAGAGCCCAAGTAATTTCATTCCTCGATGAAGAGCCGCTCGTCTCGGTCGTCTCACATTGTCAGACGTAGTTGAGCAAATTCGAAAATTCTTCGAAACACTCCCCGACACCGACGCTGACATTCGATATCGCGGGGATGACACGGTGACCGCAAGGCCGAAACGGGAAAATAGCTCGAGACGGGAGAAGAGGAGAAAAGAAGAGAAAAGGACGAAAGGGGGAAGAGTAGAACGGGCCGCGAGCATTCGTTGCGACAGTAGTTGCAGGCACGAGAAGAGTTGCTAATGATTCGCTAACGAGATACGTGCCCGGTCTGTTTCCTACCGAAACGAAAGAAAAACCGGGTGCCTTAGGAATAACGGAGATGCTCTCTTCCTCTTGAGACTTCTTCCCTCCCTCCCTGGCTACCGCCGGTGACGAGCTTCGTCTTTGTCTTTATCTCCTCGTTTCTTCCTTATTTCCTCACACTTAGACTCTGTGTCGTCGTCGCATCTTAAATCCACGTTGCTTCGCCGTTTTCTCCCAGATTCGCGACTCGTGATCGCAAAACAACTAGCTAGAGAGTACGACAAAGGAGATCCGACTTTACTCTCGATCCAGACTACATAGTTTTATTTCCGACCACTTTACCTCCCAACTTTTATTCACGTGTCGCCGGAAAAGCATTCTCGTGTCTCGACATCGACTGCGCCTAATCTATCTTTCCCTTGGAATATTTTAGACACGATCCTGGCCCAACTTCCCTCCGAATCAGAAAAGGAAGAAAAGGGAAGGCGGGGCCGCGAAATGGTAGTTTTAGAATTTCGGGGAAATGACGAACGTCGATCATCGGGATGACCGATCGGCGACAATTCCTATTTTTCCCCAATGTCGTTCGACGAGCATTCGTATTCATCTGTCACGACGTGCACGGAGTAAAAGTGATTTCCTCCTGTCAGCATTGCCGCTGCTGGACACCGACATTGAGCAATCTCTCTACCGCGTCCCATTACTCGTCAATTACCGATAGAAATCCTTCTTCTCTTTGTGTCAATTATTTTACGCCAGGGTTCGCCTTTCCCTAAATATTCTAAACGAACCATTTCACTCCCCTTCCCCAACACACCAAACAGGAATCGCCGACCGCCTGCCCACACTTTTTTACCTTAACTTCCCTCTTTCCTCTTCCTCTTCCTGCGGCTTTTAAAAAGTCTGAAATATGGTGAAACTTTCAGTCACCGACGACCGTTATACGTAAACGGTTCCCGCCATTCCCAATCCGTTCGTAATTTACAAATGAAACATTTTCCATCCTCTCGTTGAACTCGTTAAACCAGCAATTTTATTTTGACCAGACGAAACCCACTCAACCTTTGCACGTCCGTTTTCTCCTATTCGAATCATGAAACAGTTGCAACGCGTTAACGAAGAATAAGTAAAAATCTAATAACGAAAATACGAATTCTCACTTATATGTGTACTCGACGCTTCTTCTACAATTCCAATCAACTACGTGAAAACCATTGAAATATTTAAGAGGCAAGGGCTCTTTTGTCGATGTGCACGATCCTGGTAAACGAACCCGCTCAAGTAGAGCCGTGTAGGGGAATTCGTAGCTCACGAACTCATACCAACCAACGCCCCATGAATCACGTTAACTATGTGCGTATAGTGGAAGCATAGTAAAGTAATAACAATCTTGTTTCGACGTTTCTCGAGATGGCAGTGCAGAACACGATCGCGAGTGTTGCTTCTTTCCTATTTTTATTTGCCGTGATAGGTGGTAAGCGGAAATTTGTTTCGGTAGAAATTCTTCGTATTATCGAATACAATTCAGTGAAAACTTGTGACAACGTACAGTGTTTAAAGCGAACCATGTACACACATTTGTAGTATTTTCCAGAAAAGTATTATGTTCGCAACCACGGTGCTTGCGACAAATATTCACAGATTACGATTAAAATCGCGTTTTGACAATTGCAGCGAGGAAAATTAAGCACTTCGGTTACGCCCAGTTTTAGGTTATAAAGCAACGTTACCTTCCGTCAGTCTTCAGCTTTTGTTCGTTCATTTTAGGTACTGAGGCGGTTCGTTGCTATCAATGTAGTAGTGACACTGACCCGAAGGGCGAAGATTTATGTGGGGCTTATCAAAAGTTTGACAAAGAGAAAAATATTGCTATCGATTGCAACAGCGAGGAGTCTCACATGCCTGGCACGTTCTGCGTCAAAATAACGCATCAGAGCCCCCGTGGTTTTATTTGTAAGATACATATTCTTTTTTAACGTCGCATCTCTACACGCGTTTGTTTATCTTTTTTTCCGACTACGTTAAATTCGCGTACTTTCGATCGTTAACCTAAACTGCTGATCTAGTTTCGTTCAGTTTGTTATTTCGAATGATTTTTCAAGGGGACGGTAGATGGCGGCAAGTGATCCGTCGATGTTCTTCCGTGGCCAGTACCGGAGTCACGGGCGTTTGTAACTGGGGGGTATACGAAAATGGGGTGTATTGGGAAGAATGTTCCTGTTCGGAAGATTCTTGTAACGCAGCCTCAACTCTACCATCGTTTTCGATTACGATCCTATTATTGCTTGGTATTTCGATTGCTATATTTTCTTCGAGATAAATATGTATAGTTAGTATGTATAAATCAAACACGTTCTTAAATATCCGTCCATTTTATATCACATTATTGTAAGTTTTATCAATAAAAAGCCAAAAATCTACACTGTCACCTATCATTTTTATCTCTTTTCAATTAAGTCGAAATTGTATTTTACATTTAATATTCCAACTATGTATAATCTCTAGATCCGATGAATTGTATTATTAACAGAAATTACCGATTACGAAACACCCTAATTGACGATGAGGTAAGATACCACCATTTCACTACTTATGTATATTCTGTATTTATACTGTGGATATGTAAGCATGCGTGCATATATGTATGTACGTAAATACGTTACGTTAAAAGAATAACGAACACGTGCATGAAGGCAATAGCAGCAGTGTTGGTAACAGTAAATAAAGAAATGATTTATCTAATTTATATAAGAAAGCAATTTCTAACATTTGAAACGGCATCTTAACGTCTTATAATATAATTTGTATAGTGTACTGGTATATGTGTACCTATGCATGCACACATACACGTGCCAAGAACGCGCTGCTTCGAGCACGTGGGTCTAATACCCTGTATGCAAAACTCGAGTCACGCTTAATTAGATATTATATTGGTAGTTCTGACTGTAGTGGGGAATTTCATATTAAAACTGTTAATACTTCGTGTATACATACGCAAACGATTTGCGCATGCTATACGCTTCCGTCTCGTTTCATTGTATACAACTATTCTTTCTGTAACGAATCCTTCAAGTTACAAGTACGAGCAGTGTTTAAAGTGGCATGTGATATTCGTGAAAAGAGGTTTTAGCAACTACTGTAACGAACACAGTAACTTGCAAGTGAAATTCAAATAAATTCGCATAAACGATGAATATTGCGGATGGAGTTGGATATACGCGGTCAGAAGTATTCGTGCTTGTAGCTAGAGTAACTTTTATTGCGGCTTTTGGATTCTTCAGTATGAAATGGCTTATGAACCAACTTGATCCCACGAACAATGCAAAAAAGAAAGCGAAAAAAAAGGTCACACATTAATCACTTGATATTTGTACAATTTCTCTCTTACATAACCTTCACTCTTCACGCACCAAAAATATCACTTCATTTTTGATACACTTTCTTCGAAGAAACACTTTTTAAATCTTTCGTAGGCACGAGAACAGTTACGAAAATTGGCTAAAACCGATAACCTATTATGGTCAGTAGACATGGATCAATTAACGGATTATGAAATGATGATAGCTAATCACATAGTGGATCCTAAAGATATTCGGGTTTCATGGGGAAATATTGCAGGTCTTGAACATGTTATACAAGAACTCAAAGAAACGGTTATATTGCCCATACAAAAAAAGGAATTATTCGAAGACTCTCAGTTGACTCAAGCACCAAAGGTACATGTATATGCCGTTTAATTACTAAATAATTTCGTATTCTAACCTATAAATTCGTTTTAGGGAGTATTGTTACATGGACCACCAGGTTGTGGCAAAACTATGATTGCCAAAGCAACTGCAAAGGAGACAAAAACATGTTTTATTAATTTAGATGTAAGCATTCTAACTGATAAATGGTACGGGGAAAGCCAGAAATTAACTGCAGCTGTCTTTTCATTGGCTGTGAAACTTCAACCATGTATCATTTTTATCGATGAAATAGGTGTGTGCGTGTGTGTGTGTGTGTGTGTGTCAGAAAAGCAAATTTATCCATTGTACACCTTTGGTGTTTTCATCTTTCCCCCCTTTTACAGATTCATTTTTAAGAGCACGAAATTCCCAAGATCATGAAGCAACAGCAATGATGAAAGCACAGTTTATGTCCCTTTGGGATGGACTAATCACAGATCCTTCTTGCACAGTTATAATAATGGGTGCTACTAATAGACCGCAGGATTTAGATAGAGCTATTCTTAGACGTATGCCGGCTACTTTTCACATTGGTTTGCCGGTAAATCAAATTTATGTAAAAATCGACTGCTCTCGCTCGTATGCACGTTTCACATGTTCGTGTGTAGAAATATTTCCGTTAACATTCTACGTGATACGAAATGCCCGGTATTTATACATGTATGTGTGTATATATACATATGTATGTATGTATGTATGTGTATATTTCAGAATGAACAACAACGAATGCAAGTGTTGAAACTGATATTAGATCGTGAGCCAATAGCTGAAAATGTGGATGTAGGAAAACTGGCAAAAATGACCGAAGGTTTTTCTGGATCGGATTTACAAGAACTTTGTAGAAATGCATCTATTTATCGTGTTCGAGATTATTTACGGTCCCACGCACAGTTAATACTTGTTTTTAATCATCGGTCTTTTAATCATCAAATTTCTTACACAAACTTACAATCGATATTTTGTTTCAGAGATTCGGTTGGAAGTACCGATGCATGCGGTGAGGAATATCACGACGCTGTGCGTCCTATAACAATGGAAGATCTTCTTACATCGTGCAGAAAAATAAAAACATCTAAAATACATACGGGTACTTTTAGTGCGGTCAAATCTGATTTAGATTAAGCAAAAAATAATATCTATGTCAATTTAATTTGAAATTTTATTTTCCAAAAGAAAAAAGAAAAAATTTAGAAAAATATAATTTTATAATAGTATTTCTTATTTCCATGTATTTCAAATGTTTTGTGTTTATATGATAGAAAAATTTATTATTGAAAGTGTACGTTCTTTAAATATGTACACGGCGCACCAGAAAAAAGGACATACATATACGGATGTATGTGTGTACAATATGAAACTTGTATCCATGAAACAAGGAAAAATTTGATTACGATTAAAAACAAAGCAAATCTTCCAGTACTTAAATGTTGTCGTTGCAATTTATCGCGTCGAGGTTTTTACTATTTAACGGATTCAAATTTACTCTACCGGAAGTTCTTCAACACATGCGCAATTTTTTCGAGAGTCACTTCTGTGTGCATGATATGTCTGTGCGTGAGTGTGTTTATGTTTGTATATGTGATTCGGAGTAATATCGTACGAAATAATCAAATACATCTTAGTTATTATTATGTAAATTAATCCGTACTATTTTTAAATTTGCAAGTATAAACTTTTGTATCTATCATTGTACAGATAACAGTTCGTGATAGTCGGTCAGAAACAAGCAGATGTTCCAAATGTTGTTATTCTTCGCAATTAGTACGAAGAAATTAACACTTACACAATAAAATGAAACGATTTTTATTTCTAGTATATACAATTAATTTAAACTCGACGGGGTTAAGAGATCAATTGTATTGTGCCATATAGAAAATTAACATTAATTCCTCGAAAGTTAACTTGCGTGAAAATGGACGATATAATAAAGCTAGTAATGTGTAAATGTTTAGAATACAAAAAAAAAAAAAAAAAAAAAGAACTACAGATTCGCTTGTGAAATAGGTTGTTCGATTACGATCGTTACCTTTACTCAGGATTTACGGTATGAGATTGAAAAGAAAACACACACATATCTATTACGAGTTATTACCCTGCGCATATTATAGTTTATACATTCAAATGCACAAAGGGCGAGCAGATTATTAGTTTAATAACGTTGAATGTAAAGAATGAATATTTAAAACGATACTGGTTAGTTTTTCGGAGAGAAAAAAATGCAATTGTTGGTTGGTAAAGAAACATTAATAAAGTTCGATTTTGAGTTTAAGGAAGTTGCATCAATTCAAGCATAAAAGAAACTCGTTCAAAGGGGATCTTTGCGAAATTCGGAGTAAATATGTAATAAAAAAGAAAAGCGAAAAAATATGAGAAAGAGAAAAAAAAAAAAGAGAGGACGCATGCGCAGAAAAAAAGGATACTAACAGAACGTCCCAGTGAAGAACGAACGAACAGCAGCGAAAGTTTGCTGGAATAAAAGTTGCGAGGAGAAGGAAGCCTCTGCGAGCCTTTATCCTTTCCCTCCTCCTTCTTTCGATCGGTGAGATAGAGCCGTGAAATCGTTAACACGTGAAGAAAAGAGGGAATATTTTGCCGAGGGTAAAGGTAAATGCAGTTACCAACAGTGAGAACGAGAAGCACAATCAGGCGCGATACAAACGCGTCATTGTAAATGGCGCTCCTAGTGACAAAGGTGATTGCGGGAGACTTTCGATTTCATATCAGATGTAAACTGTGTTTGAAATGGATGTTATAAAGAATAGTTCCATTGGCTGATCAAGCTTAACTCCCATTCCCTTTGGTATCTTAATCGGCGGTACTTGGTTAACGTATTGACGAAGAAATGAAAACAGGCGGGAAAAGAAGAACGGTGGTGCCGACGATCGGATCCCGGTACAATCGTCCGTAAAATCCTGTGTAGCATCGTGATGGTTCGTTCGCAGAGCGGACGACCGTTCTGCAACAACGGCGGTGCATGATCTTATGCGTTAGTGGGTGAGTGGCCGTGTCGCGTGTGCGTGTAATATTCATGTTCGCAAAGTGAGGATGCAACATAGAGATTGTTGTTGTTCTCCTCCTCACAAGCGTATCGATGAATATGTGCGTTGAACGCATTTGTATAAGTCCTATATATCCGAAAACCACTGTACCTTGGTGATATAGAATGCGGATTGAATCGAGTTACTACTTTGACACGATGACACCAACAAAACGTGATCCCCTTCTGTGAATGAAACGTTCTAAACGAGTTTATACATTTCTAACGAGTGATTAAAGAAAAGCTGTCGATCGTAAAGAAATTAGAGGAACGAATTGAATAGATCTGTTGAGAAAGTTCTCTCGGTGTTAACATTATTTCTTAGAAATTCACCGTAACTGGGAGTGCCGCTAGATCACAGTTGAACATGCTCGGGAAGGACTCGAGTGAATTTTACGTTATACGCGTGAAAAGATTGCTTTTTTACTTTTCAAATGCAGTATGGTATCTGGAAGGATCTGTTTGAAATCGATCAAAGCAAGTCTTTCGCAGACGACATGTGAACTCTGAATTAAATTAAGGAGAGTACGAACAATGTTTCGGTGAAACTGGCATGAAAATGTACCGCGGTGTTAAGTGGCCTCTGTGATGTACTGCGAACGGTGCTTAACCTAACTTTTTCGTCGACGCTTCTACACGGCGTTTCCTTGCGTGTAACGTTCTCTTTCGATAACGAACTTGTAACTAAGTGATCGTAAATCGCGAATGTTCGTCGTTACTTTTTTCTTTTATTTAATTCTTCCCCCTTCCCCCCCATCCGCGCCCCTTTATGTATCAAGTGCGATTCTTCCTTGCCGCTTTCTTATGCGTTTTTAATTTATCGTAAAACATGAGACTGTGATCGTTACTTTGTAAAAGATTGAAAATGCTTTTTATCAACTGTACTTTTGATTTTGTCGTGGAACGATATAAAGATTAAGTTCACAGTATTTATGCGAGTATGTTTTTAACGGTTCTACGTTTACCGTTTATGTTCAAATCGAAATATAGGTTTATTTTCATTTTTTTTTTCGTTCTCCTTGGACGTGATTTTCCTACCACTTGCCAGTGCTTGTATAACGTATTTCTTCTTAATATTCGTTCTAAACACACGAGTTAATATATAGATGTACATTTGTATCTATCGCAATTGGTGATCAGTCACGAGATTTTCGTTATTTTTCTTTAGCAGTGGTGATGGGTAATCTTGTCATTTTGTTACCAACGTTTTTCGCGTGCAAAACTAGTTTTGAATAATGTGGTAAATGTGTTTTCGTTGCCACATACTTGTGAAGTTTCCTAGGAGGCATACGACTGTTGGTCATTGAACTGCTGTTGTATCGATCACTGGTACAGTGTTCATTAGTGTATTGTGTTACGTGGTGTGCTCAGAATTTACAGAGTTTCATTTTTGTGTAAATTACAAAGGTTGTCGTTACACGAAACTGGTGGTGGTGGTGGTGGTGGTGGTCATGACGACGTTATTATGGAATAATAACTACGTGGCAAGCAATTGCAAAGGAAGATAGAAACTGGACGAGATGGATGATAGGAAGGACACATGTTCTGGGAATTAATGGGTATATGCTTTTCCTGCAGGAGACCTACAGGCAGCAGGCTGAATAATAAAATATCAGAGCATATTTCGGCATCAGTAACACCCCTCCATGTTTGTCTGGAGGAACAAAGAGGACCAGAATTGGGCTCTTGCGGAGCCTTGGCTTGTAAGCCACAGGTATATCTTATTACTTGAAATTGGGTAAAGGTACAGAAAGATTGGCATAACGTATAGCTAGGTAATTTTCCGAGCAGGCAAAAAAGTTGTTTAAGAAGCAGAAAAGGGAAGGTAGGTGCGGCGAAGAAGTGGAGATTGAAATTATCGGAGTCGAAGGAGGAGATTTGAAACTCAGTCAGCCGAGTATGGCCAACACGATCAATATGAAGATGACCAACCGTATAAAAGGGATCGTGAGCAAAAGTCGTAAACGTTTCACGGAAGATGGTTTTGACCTTGATCTCACATGTATCCTTTTACAATTGTCACCGATGCCGGTAGAACGTTTCGGTAGACGTTACGACGACGTTTATTACATTGGACCGTTGTTATCTTCTTTAACGATAGATATATGAATTACACACAGATATAAGAGATAATTTAATAGCAATGGGTTTTCCAGCTGAAAAATTAGAAGGCGTATATAGGAATCATATAGACGACGTTGTTAAACTGTTGGAATCTAGACACAAAGATCATTATAATCTATCTATCTATCTATCTATCTATCTATCTATCTATCTATCTATCTATCTATCTATCTATCTATCTATCTATCTATCTATCTATCTATCTATCTATCTATCTATCTATCTATCTATCTATCTATCTATCTATCTATCTATCTATCTATCTATCTATCTATCTATCTATCTATCTATCTATCTATCTATCTATCTATCTATCTATCTATCTATCTATCTATCTATCTATCTATCTATCTATCTATCTATCTATCTATCTATCTATCTATCTATCTATCTATCTATCTATCTATCTATCTATCTATCTATCTATCTATCTATCTATCTATCTATCTATCTATCTATCTATCTATCTATCTATCTATCTATCTATCTATCTATCTATCTATCTATCTATCTATCTATCTATCTATCTATCTATCTATCTATCTATCTATCTATCTATCTATCTATCTATCTATCTATCTATCTATCTATCTATCTATCTATCTATCTATCTATCTATCTATCTATCTATCTATCTATCTATCTATCTATCTATCTATCTATCTATCTATCTATCTATCTATCTATCTATCTATCTATCTATCTATCTATCTATCTATCTATCTATCTATCTATCTATCTATCTATCTATCTATCTATCTATCTATCTATCTATCTATCTATCTATCTATCTATCTATCTATCTATCTATCTATCTATCTATCTATCTATCTATCTATCTATCTATCTATCTATCTATCTATCTATCTATCTATCTATCTATCTATCTATCTATCTATCTATCTATCTATCTATCTATCTATCTATCTATCTATCTATCTATCTATCTATCTATCTATCTATCTATCTATCTATCTATCTATCTATCTATCTATCTATCTATCTATCTATCTATCTATCTATCTATCTATCTATCTATCTATCTATCTATCTATCTATCTATCTATCTATCTATCTATCTATCTATCTATCTATCTATCTATCTATCTATCTATCTATCTATCTATCTATCTATCTATCTATCTATCTATCTATCTATCTATCTATCTATCTATCTATCTATCTATCTATCTATCTATCTATCTATCTATCTATCTATCTATCTATCTATCTATCTATCTATCTATCTATCTATCTATCTATCTATCTATCTATCTATCTATCTATCTATCTATCTATCTATCTATCTATCTATCTATCTATCTATCTATCTATCTATCTATCTATCTATCTATCTATCTATCTATCTATCTATCTATCTATCTATCTATCTATCTATCTATCTATCTATCTATCTATCTATCTATCTATCTATCTATCTATCTATCTATCTATCTATCTATCTATCTATCTATCTATCTATCTATCTATCTATCTATCTATCTATCTATCTATCTATCTATCTATCTATCTATCTATCTATCTATCTATCTATCTATCTATCTATCTATCTATCTATCTATCTATCTATCTATCTATCTATCTATCTATCTATCTATCTATCTATCTATCTATCTATCTATCTATCTATCTATCTATCTATCTATCTATCTATCTATCTATCTATCTATCTATCTATCTATCTATCTATCTATCTATCTATCTATCTATCTATCTATCTATCTATCTATCTATCTATCTATCTATCTATCTATCTATCTATCTATCTATCTATCTATCTATCTATCTATCTATCTATCTATCTATCTATCTATCTATCTATCTATCTATCTATCTATCTATCTATCTATCTATCTATCTATCTATCTATCTATCTATCTATCTATCTATCTATCTATCTATCTATCTATCTATCTATCTATCTATCTATCTATCTATCTATCTATCTATCTATCTATCTATCTATCTATCTATCTATCTATCTATCTATCTATCTATCTATCTATCTATCTATCTATCTATCTATCTATCTATCTATCTATCTATCTATCTATCTATCTATCTATCTATCTATCTATCTATCTATCTATCTATCTATCTATCTATCTATCTATCTATCTATCTATCTATCTATCTATCTATCTATCTATCTATCTATCTATCTATCTATCTATCTATCTATCTATCTATCTATCTATCTATCTATCTATCTATCTATCTATCTATCTATCTATCTATCTATCTATCTATCTATCTATCTATCTATCTATCTATCTATCTATCTATCTATCTATCTATCTATCTATCTATCTATCTATCTATCTATCTATCTATCTATCTATCTATCTATCTATCTATCTATCTATCTATCTATCTATCTATCTATCTATCTATCTATCTATCTATCTATCTATCTATCTATCTATCTATCTATCTATCTATCTATCTATCTATCTATCTATCTATCTATCTATCTATCTATCTATCTATCTATCTATCTATCTATCTATCTATCTATCTATCTATCTATCTATCTATCTATCTATCTATCTATCTATCTATCTATCTATCTATCTATCTATCTATCTATCTATCTATCTATCTATCTATCTATCTATCTATCTATCTATCTATCTATCTATCTATTATATTTTTCGTTAGACTTTTCAAGTACTTTATTTCGATGACTGTTAATTTTAACTGTTCGAAGCAGTTGGATGTATCCAATAAGAGAATTGTTAGTGTTGAAATGAAATGTGGTGTCTTCTGCGTTAATGCAAATGTATAATAACGTACTATGTACGAGACTAGTATTTGTTTTTAAAATTGTACGACAAAGCTAATATCTAGAAGATAATTGTGACCAATACGATAAGTACGGGGATAAGAAACGTGACAATTTGTATTTGTAACAATTTTACCGTTTGTGCTTGTATTCTTCGTGGCATTATGAAGAGAACGGACGACTTAAATATATCCCGATTGCCTTATATCCTGTGATGATCGTTAACACTTTGCAGGTAGCCAAGCTAATTCGTGTAGATTTTAGTGGAGGGTTGTTGTAGTCGAAGCTTGTAAGATAACGTTTACATGTACAGAAAATTTCATTCTTTCGATTTTCTAATAGAAATATGTTAAATGTTAACAGGCTGTGCAATTTTCTAAACTTTTATTCCTCGGTGTCAAAGCAAGTGTGACTTCTTTTCATATTGACATCGAGGTAAATTTTATTTCAAATAAGGTATGGTATTTTATCGAGTAAATTATCGCGTGTGAATTTTTATTTTGCAACTACGATGAAAAGGTTCTATCCGTGTACGGAAACTACCTATTCTCGAGTAACGTGTTACTTTAAGATAACTCTAGTTTCTTTTTCTCTTCTTCCTCCTCCGTGTTTTCTTCTTTTTTTCATTTTTTCTTCTTTTCCTCTTTTACATGTACATGTACAAGTTTCGTCACTGTTTTCCTCGTGTTTTCTGAATATTGTGGCAGATTTTCAATTAGATTTTCAACGTAGAAGAATAGTTTGCGAAACCGCATAAGGTTCAGTTTTAAAGAAGCGGTCTTAAAACTGATATTTTACGCGCGTTCTTACCGCGTTCTTGACAGTAGGAACAATAACGACGATAGTTGGGCGAAATTTGTACATTTACGTATATAGAGAAATGTCGCAATAAGTTTACGAGAGTTAAGAGACTTGCGAAACGGCATGAAAAATCTGGTGGTTTAAGTAGCAACAAACTATATCGATAAGTAAATTAGAGCTGAAGGTCGTTCGCGCTCCACCTGCGCACACTTTCGTTTCTGCTTATCACTTTCCTTTCACAACGAATTCCCGCGGATGGTACGTACGACTTTCGCACATTCGCACTATTCTCCTTTTCCGAATCGAAGAAAGACGCGACCAGAAATCAATCGATTTATCTCGGCAAAACTGACAAGTGTTTCTTTCGATGTAATCGTCGTTACTAATGTAATTTCATTATTTAAAGGACGGTCGGTGTTAAGACGTATTCGAAGCTGTTGATGTAGCGAATATTCCAACAATCGGGCAATTTTTAAACGACTCAGATGTTCCGACGATTTTCACTTTTTCCAAATTCTACTACCGCACTCGTCGACGGAATCTTTTACCTTCTCTACGTAGATTACTGCCGCGTAGATAGAATACTTGTATACGTTGTCGTCGTGTACGAGTATGCGAAAGTTCGAAGCACCTGGCAATCCTCCAAATTCAAAACACACATATTCAACATTCTATCTTGTCTCTTGTCTTTTGTCTTTCGTCTTTCGTCTTTCGGTGGATGCTTAGGAATACCATGTGAATATCAAAGCCCTGATACATTTTAATTTTACTCTGGTTTTTGTATCGTTGCATGTTGGTAGTTCATAATCGTAGATATCGGATGTTTGTGAATATTTGAAATTTGTGAAAGTGATACACAGCATCTTTATTACATATTGTGTAATGATTATTTTGTGATACTATTATACTTATGACTATTAATTATATCGTTGTTATATCTTTATTCGTATTCTTATTTCTATTACTATTATTTTTATTACCATTATTATTACCGTTGTTGCTGTTATCATCATCATCATCATCATCATCATCATCATCATCATCATCATCATCATCATCATCATCGTCATCATCATCATCATCATCATCATCATCATCATCATCATCATCATCATCATCATCATCATCATCATCATCATCATCATCATCATCATCATCATCATCATCATCATCATCATCATCATCATCATCATCATCATCATCATCATCATCATCATCATCATCATCATCATCATCATCATCATCATCATCATCATCATCATCATCATCATCATCATCATCATCATCATCATCATCATCATCATCATCATCATCATCATCATCATCATCATCATCAAACGAATATTTTAAGAACGATATTATACACGCATTACAGTTACAAAATAGTATATTTGTAGTATTTTCCACTTACGTCTTCCGATTCTCTGTAAAGCGTAAAGTTCAGTTTGAAAACTGTTGCTCTAGGACGATTTTGTTTAGTTAGTACTGACCTGGTCCCATACTCCACACTTTTTCTGACAAATAAATATCCACAATGGTTTGCAATGCTTTCTCCTTGTAGCATCCTACTTGCGGGAAGAGACTGTGGAGCGTTCGGCTCGTCGACTTGGCTCAAACCTTGTACGTATTCGAAGCACATTCTAGAATGTGTACGGCACAGCTTGACAGTTTACCTTAGAATGTGCTTTCGCTGAATACAAAATTTGAGCTTGATAGATCTCGGCGTAACGGTAGAAACTGCTATCCTCGCACGGCTATTTTTCTCTTCCAATCTTTCTCATATGGTCCACTAGAGCCCCCTCCATCCCGGCCACGATTTAAAAAGGAATGCGCTGTACTTCCTTCTCTGTCGCATGCCCAAATGTAATGCCAAGTATCGTCTCGCGTAATCGCGCTCGATCCTTTTGTAAATCTGATACGGTGAGGGTACGAGAAGAAGAGAGAGAGGATACTTTTGGAATAGAGGAGGAATTGGAAAGAAAAGAAGATCGAAGACCTCACTTTGCCCTCCACCGCACCGTATTTAGATGTAGAATCATTCTAAGAACACATACACGATACTGACCGATTGATTATTCTGTCTCTGTGTGTCTGTTCACCCCTAGTGGACATGGACCAGCGTGTTGGACGATACCGCCTTCTCTCAGACGGAGGAATGATAGATGTTTTGTGAGTTCATCGCCATTCGTCCCTCGGCATTGCTGTTGTTCGCATATTGACGGGCGAACATTGCAAACTCGGATCGATCGACGCGTCCCTTTCACGATCTGCACTAGACCCGACGAATCAGAGAAACGGTCCTTCCAACGAACAGTACTAGGCCCCGCGACCAGAGAAACGTTTACACCTTCTTTTCAAATTCGTTTTAGCAAAAATGCCTTGTACCTTCTGTCTACGTATGTATGTTTTGATGCATTATCGATGCATTGTCGATGCAACATCTCTGGTTGTGCGAAAAAAAGCCGAGATCGTGTTGCGACTTGAAATTGAACGAGCTTGGAAATTGTTTTGATTTTAGTCATTCGGAGTCTGGTTTGTGAAAGAAGAAAGAGAAGTTCCAAGCTCGGCACGTTAATTCGAGTTTCGCGTCTTTGCTAATACGGAACGTTGGCTGGTGTTTGAACGAATACCCGCGTTGGATTGTAGGCTGACAAAGAAAGTGTGTTTATATAGATTACGGATCCAGATGGGAATAACGGTGTAAAAAAAAGAAAGAAAAGCAAGATTATTTTCGTAACGATGATAAATTGTAAGTGAATAAGGACAGTAAGAGAAGAACTGTAACGACGATAAGAAGAAGAGGAGAGAGGAGGAGGAGGAGGGAGGAGGAGGAGGAGGAGGAGGAGGAAGAATATCGAGAGGAACTACTAGTATATGTATAACGATATATCGACAACTAGGACGGTGGTGTTAACGTCTAGAATCTAGAAGAAGAATGGAATTTCGTCGCGTCGCTCTTCGTTCGACAACGCCGGTCTTTAGTATATTCATTTTCTCGCGTCTCCTCGCCGTAAACAGTTTCTCTCTGTTCACCAATGATTTATCAAACTTCTATTTTTCTACGACAATTGTCGTCGCGACGATCGGGAAGAAATATCATATATGTAGTTATTGAAAATCTGTCCGCGCCAACAGACGAAGGTTTTTACGAGAATTTTTGCAGTACTTGCACAGTGAGAGATAGAAGTTAGAAATAGCGTTGGGAATCGGAGCTGGAGGTATATTTGTGTCGCGGTTGAAAGATCGATAGTAATACGTTAGGATATTCGCGGGCGAACCAAGGATACGAAAGATACGAAAGAATTGGGAGAAGAAGGCAGGCAACAACAAGTATCGTTTCTGACGCCGTCCTTTCTTAACTCGTAGCACGATAAGAGAGGAAAGAGAAGAGTTCGTTATTGTTCGCTGGTGTAATTTCTCATTCGTATCTCGTCGCTCGTGGATGTAACGTACTATTAAGTAAGATTATGAAATTTCGGTAGAATTAGCGACGGGAGCGCGCATTCTCCACAGCGCTTTTCCCCACCGAATTCCGATTACGCGTATCGGAACGTATCTGAGTATTCCTACGTGTTCGGACTTTCTTTTTGCCATCGAAACGAGGTGTACCACTGGAAGAGAGAGAAAGGAGAAACGTGTGTCTGTGTGCGTGAAAGAGCGAGAGCGAGAGCGAGAGCGAATGTGACGATTACCTCGAACGGATTAGTAAATTTACCTTGCTCGGACTATTTTCGAATCGCACCGTTCAATTGATATCAACTAACTAACTAACTAACTAACTAACTAACTAACTATCGTTGCGATACCTCAGTTTTTTACGTGTTAAAGAAGGAACGAAGAAGGTAAAGTTACTAAATACGTTTCTACCCACCAATAATTATTATTACATACCTATGTACGATATTGTTATTTCGCGTGAACGTACGCGCTTCTCGGACATATTTTTTCTCGTACGAAGCTCATGAACACGGTTTTATAAGTGACACACCTCTTAAAATTAACTTTTATATGATTCATGCGGAATGTTCAAAATATAAATAAGATGCATTATTTTCTCTGTGATATTGTATACGAATATAACTCTCTCTCTCTCTCTCTCTCTCTCTCTCTCTCTCTCTCTCTCTCTC